TCCCTACCCAGAAATCCGTAATGAAGAATTAGAGGAAATAAACCAACTTGTTCAGCCTGTGGAAAAGTTTTTCAATGAAGATGGTGGGTACAAAAGAAGCATGTATTAATGAGTTTTTGTTTAATTATTGTGAGGTCTCTCTTCATATATTATGTCACGTATATACGGGTCATGTATTATACTGACTTGTGTTCATCTTGGAAAAATATATTTTAATACAGTTAATTCACAATTTATAATTAAAGCTGATTTCTGAAATACTTTTGTGCTTCAGTGGAAGCAAGGGAATCTGTCATTTATATATACACACACACACACACACACACACATACATACATACATACATACATACATATATATATATATGTATATATATATGTGTATATATATGTGTGTTATTAACTGATATCAGCTTTTGCATTTTCTTATATGAGATTTATACAAATGACTGAGAAATGTCTTTTTTTCTGTACTTGTGCAAATATCACCATAGTTGATTCCATGAAGATTGACCATGAGGCTGTAATTCCTCCTGAGACTTTAAATGGGCTGAAGGAACTGGGGCTGTTTGGGATCCAGATACCTGAAGAATATGGTGAGACTGACTTCATACACTTCATACAATTTCTAATATACCATCAGACAATTTCATCTTCTTGTTTGCCTGTTTCCTCCAGGCGGTCTGGGCCTCTCAAACACCATGTATGCCAGGTTAGGAGAGATCACGTCTTTAGATGGGGCTATTGCAGTCACACTGGCAGCACATCAAGCCATTGGTCTGAAGGTGAGCAAATGACTGTCTGTGTTGCACCGTGCGTCCTGTAGTAAAGCAATAGTTCACCCAAAAATGAAAATTTGCTGACAATGTACTCCCCAACAAGCCATCAAAAATGTAGATGAGTTTGTTCCTTCATCACAACAGATTTGGAGAAATTCAGCATTACATCACTTGCTCACTAATGGATCCTCTACAGTGAATGGGTGCCATCAGAATGAGAGTCCAAACAACTGATAAAAACCACACAATAATCCAGTAATCAACACAACTCCAGTCCGTCAGTTAACGTCTTGTGAAGTGAAAAGCTGTGTGTTTGTAAGAAACAAATGCATCATTAAGGCATTTAACTTCAATTCGTCACTTATGGCCAAAATAATCTATAATAATTCAGTGAAAAAGCCCATACTCTGTTGTCCTTTCATACCAAAATCCACTGACATATTTGTTTAAAACTGTTTTAGACCGTTTTTCTTGTAAACAATGCTTGATCTGTGTATATTTCTCTACTGATTAAGATAAGACATGCAATATTTTGAACAGAGAACTTATTATAGCTGAAATAAATAAAATATCTTAAGGAAAAATTTTGCATTACAAGCATGCAGATTTTCATTTCACAAGACAATAATTGATAGACTGGAGTCATGTGGATTACTTGTGGATCACTGTAATGTCTTTATCAGCTGTTTGGACTCACATTCTGACGGCACCCATTCGCTGCAGAGGATCCATTGGTGAGCAAGTGATGTAATGCTAAATTTCTCCAAATCCGTTCTGAGGAAGAAACAAACTTGTATACATTTTGGATAGCCTGCAGGTGAGTACATTTGAGTACATTCCTTTAAGTTCTATGTTAATTGACTATTTCCATAACAATCTCTGCATTTTAGGGTATACTGATAGCTGGAAATGACGATCAGAAAGCAAAATACCTCCCCAAACTAGCAACAGGAGAGCATATTGCAGCTTTTTGCCTCACTGAACCTGGAAGGTATGACATATAACCTAAGATTAAAAACCATTCCATTTTCAAATCTGATTTGGTTATTATTTTTAAAT